GTTCTTGCGTCAGTTTGCTGAGAATGATGGTTTCCAGGTTTATCCATGTCCCTACAAAGGACACGAACTCATCGTTTTTGACAGCTGCATGATATTCCATGGTGTATATGTGCCACATTTTCCCTATCCGGTCTATCATCGATGGGCATTTGGGTTGCTTCCAGGTCTTTGCTATTGTAAACAGTGCTGCAATGAACATTCGTGTGCATATGTCCTTATAGTAGAATGATTTATAATCCTGTGGATATATACCCAGTAATGGGATTGCTGGGTAAAATGAAATTTCTATTTCTAGGTCCTTGAGGAATCGCCACACTGGTTGAACTAATTTACCCTCCCACCAACAGTGTAAAAGTGTTCCTATTTCTCCACATCCTCTCTAGCATCTGTTGCCTCCAGATTTTTTAATGATCGCCACTCTGACTGGCGTGAGATGGTATCTCAATGTAGTTTTGATTTGCATTTCTCTAACGACCAGTATCACTCTATTTTCTAACATCACAGATCGCAAATCTGATTTACCATTCTTTGCTGAGATTAACTTGGTCCCCTAAAAAGCAGCTAGGAATTAAGAATAAACTGCTCCTTCACAAGGGAAGTGGCATAAAAGAGATGTGAGTGAAGACGGGCACTTGACCTAAAGGTTATAGAGAATTCAAGTTTTCTGGGATGTTGCTAACCAGTTTCACAAGAGGAGGGAAAAAAAACATCTTTTCTCATAATAATGTTACAAAGCTTTTGGAATTTTTCTAAGGAGTTACTACAAAGGAGATATTTATTCTCAATGTGAAAAGATCAGCTCAGTAAATGAAGACATTTATTTTATTACCATAATTTAACAATTTTATAGACTTTCTGCTCTTCGTCATTGAGAACAAACATGGAAATTTGGACATTTTCAACAGTTAGGACATTGTTCTGAGAAGGAAAATGTGACTGCCTGGAAAGAGAGGCTGTGAATCAAGTGCATGCAAATGAGCTCCACGCACCCAGCTCTGCGGCCCTCGCAGAAACGTGTAAGACATCACAGTCCTGAAGGCTCCAGGCAGCCTAAGGGGACATGAGCACCTGGGGCTCAAGCCTAGCAAAGCAGAACTTACTTTGGACACGTCATGAGGTTGAAATCACTTTGTGTAAATCTCAAATTTAAAGCAAATAAGGATACTTCAAACAGAAAATCTTAGAAAATATGTACAGCTAGGGCACATCCCTTATTTCCCTTCTCACCCCACCCTCAATTAACCTAGTCTCATCGTTTTTTTTTTTTTTTGTGTTAGAGACAAGGTCAGTCTCACTGTGTCACCCTGGCTGGAGTGCAATTACATGATGATCATGGCTCACTGCGGCCTTAACCTCCTGGGCTCAGGTGATCCTCCCACCTGAGTCTCCCAGGTAGCTGGGCCTATAGGTACATGCCACCAAACCCAGCTAATTGTTTTGTTTTTTTTTTTTTCTTTTGTATTTCTTGTATAGATGGTGTTTCACCATGTTTCCCAGGCTGATCTCTAACTTCTGGGCTCACGAAATCTGCCCGCTTTGGCCTCCAAAGTGCTAGGATGACATACCCGAGCCACCACGCCTAGCCTCATCTTCAGTTTTTAAGAACAGGTGATTCAGTATAAAATGTCACAGGAATGCCAGAATCCATTTTCAGTATATGAAACTGGACTCCGCTGACCACAGCACAGTATTTAGCATTTACTAGTTGCTTTAAAAACAGTTGCTCGTTTATGTGACTTTACTCTTGTGCCAGGAAAATAGCATTTGCATGTCTAAGCTCCATGACATTTGACCTTCACAAGTCTGTGAGGCTGGCTAATAGGATGCTGTGCAGTTTTACATCACTTACACAGATCAGAAAGCTGAGGATCGAAGAGAGTTGTTTGTCCAGGTGGTGAGATGATTCATAGGTAAAGCGCTTTCTAGAAAGTACTACACAAATGAAGGTAATACGGCGCTTTGGGCACCTATCTATAAATTAAGGCAAAAGTTACAACTTCACATAGAATGGTATCTCAGTCTTTTCTGAATACAACGTATCCACTAAACCATCCACCCCTCTCTTCCCTTAGCCGTAAGTGAGGGGTTACTCCCACTTGACACCAGAATGGCAGGCTACTCAGCATTGTGAAATGCACCGTTCTACAACCTCAGTCAGTCCAGACAGGCTGTCACCAGGCATTCAATAGAGAGCAGCAACGTACACAATGAACCTCCTGACTACGGTCCCTTGAGACATAGGTCTGGAGAATTCTGGCATGAGGAAACAGTGTTTGCGACAATCTGTAGTCTTTCGGGGTGACTTAATGTGGAAAGAAAACAGCATTAAACAATTATGCTGCACATGAGTATTCTATATCATTTTTATGGTTTCATAAAAATTCATTTGCTTTCGGGTATTACAAATACAAGAGGAAACGAAAACATCTAACACAGGCAAGGCACCACCTAAAAAATAAAAGCCTGACAAATTAAAAAAAATAAAATCTCAGTTTTCAACCTAAACCACATCAAGTCAATTTTGTTTAAAAACAAAAACTAAGCTTTCGTTTCAGGCTGCTAGTCACCCTCATTTTTCTTCAACGGAAAAATTAACAAAGGAACTTTTGTGATGAAATGCTACTATTCAGGGTTTATAGGGTCCTACCTGGCACTCCTGAGACATGTTTATCATTACAGACACACTTACCTTCATGACACAACACTTAAATGGAAAAGAAAAAAAAAGACCTACAGACTAGAGAAATGCTGAGAGAAAAAAGCTTTCGGAAATGTATTACTGTGTGTGTTTTTAACTTTCCTAATTTACATATAGTGGCTGATGCTATTGGCTGCTTTTATTTTTGATCTTCTGGCAAAGCTGTGTTTTTAGCTTCTAAGAGGTGAACTGTGACTAAATGAAGTACAAATGTAGAGATTTTTGTTTCACCACCTGAGGAAAAGGATTAGGGCAAAGCAGGAAACTAACTACGTTCCCTACAGTTGGAGGCTGATGGAATGATTATTTGGTGACATGCTGCGTAGATCAGGCATTCTTCTCTGTAACAAGGCAAATTAGATATTTATGCTTCTATTCCAAACAAAGCAGACACGATGTCTGGCAGGATTTTTTTCTACGCTAGTTAGGACTCTTGTAAGTAAAGCTTATGAGTTTTATCATGTGGCACTTCAACCCTGCTACATATAAACAATCTTTATGAGGGTCAGACTGCTTCTTACTTAACAGTCAATAAATGTACCACTACCATTACCATCTTCAACTTCTTCCAGCAAGTTTGCAAAAGTCACGTGCCTTGCTTGAATCTGCACAGAAACTGGTTCGTATTTACTCTTTAAGGGTGCTGTATTCCATTTTGAACCTCTCCTTTTCTCCTAGAGCATTCTATTTGTACTTTTGTCCATGCTTTGGGTTCACACTGTCAACACCACTGTTCATGTCTGAATCTTCACACTACCTGGCACTATGCTCCTCTTATCCTAGGCACGTTGGCCACTGCCTCCCATAACCTGCTGAGTTCCTGCCAGTGAGGCTCCTTAGCCTATGAATCCAGCCAGTCTCATACATTTCTTGAGCTCTTCATCGTCAGAATGAAGGGTATACTGGTGGCCACTAGTCCACCAGGAGGTAGGTGCTAGACTTAGTTATACTACCATAAACCCTGATGCTTGGGGGAAACCAGGAACCCCAGATGCTATGGTGTCCCAGTCTCCTGTCAGACTGGCTTGATCCAGATGAGCAGAATTTTTTTTCTTCTTATGGCAGCTCTGGCTAAGTACTATTGGCTTACCTAGAAATCTAGGTACTAAGAGAGGACCCTGTCCTACCTGCTTGCCTCTATCTCAAGTAAGCCAACCTCTTGCCAGGAGGGGAGAAAAGGAAGCAAAGAACTGGCAGCAAGTTCCTGATTCTTTGGCATCTAACTTGGAATCTGGTACAAACCAAGAGTCATCGCTGGGAACGCCTAGACCAGTCTGGTGCACACTACTGAGGACCAGCTATTGACATCTTTTTCTTCCTTCTTTTTTTTGGAAAGAAAAAATTTCAGATCCACCAGGAACCAATTTATTTAAAAGATATGATGAAGATTAATGACGGGGAAAAAATGGCATTAAAGACAAGCACCAATGTTTTCAGTGTAAGATTTAAGAGACACAAAATTATTCTGTCAAATCCCTAAATGCTTACTCCTACTTTTGATATGTCTGTGGACGGCCTGCGTCCAAGTTCCAAACTTTGAACAGTGTCGGCTGGGCCCCGCGTACCACCACATCCCACTCACAGTCTTAAGGGCTACTGAGCGAATGAAGCCTGAGCTGACCCTCTTATGTGGATCATTTCTCTGCCCTTCATCGTAACCTAATTCCTAAGGTTTCTTCCCCATCCATAATGGCAGCGTTGCTTCATGCCAAGACTCTTCCTTGGCATGAAATTATGAGGAATACACAGTGAATATTTGCCAAATGAACTAATTCCTGTCTGACAGTGTCACTGATTTAAAGTCATTCATTCAAGAATTATTAAGTACCCACTCTATGTCGGGCACTGAGTGAACTGCTGGGATATACAACTTATTCTTAAGTAGCTTTTGGTCTAGTGGGAGGATAAGAAAGTAAACAACCACAATGCACTGGGACAAATGTCATGGCAGAGGGAAGCACATAAAGATGCCACTTATTCCAGGCTGGGTTTGTAAGAAGCAAAGGCTTTGTGGAGGTGCCTGGGCTGAGTCCTGAAGGATTAAAAAACATTCGCTAGCAGAGAAAGTAGGTCAGGAGCCTAAGAAATAAAATCTGCAAAGATGCAGAAGTAGACAGAGCTTGGCATGATCCAGAACGAAGGAGCTCAGTAAGGATTAAATATAGCGTGCAAGGGGGGAGTGGTGAAAATATAAGCCTCGTGTAGTGATATGGTTTGGCTGTGTCCCCATTCAAATCTCAACTTGAATTGTAACTCCCAGAATTCCCCCGTGCTGTGGGAGGGACCCAGGGGGAGGTAACTGAATCCTGGGGGCCGGTCTTTCCCATGCTATTCTCGTGATAGTAAGTCTCACGAGATCTGATGGGTTTACCAGGGGTTTCCGCTTTTGCTTCTCCCCTCATTTGCTCTTGCTGCTGCCAAGTCAGAAGTGTCTTTCACCTTCTGCCATGATTCTGAGGCCTCCCAGCCATGTGGAACTGTAAGTCCAATTAAACTGATTTTTCTTCCCAGTCTTGGGTATGTCTTTATCAGCAGCCTGAAAATGGACTCATATACGAAGCAGGACAAGGTTTTAAGGAATCCAGAGTTTTTTAATGCTGAGCACTGGTGGTGCTGTGAGCACGACAGTGCTTTGCTGTGGCAGACTGTCTGTGCCGCACTGAGGATGTTTAGCACCTCCCGCGCCTGGCCGTTGTCAGGCCAGTAGCACCACCAGCAACAACCAATCCCTCCCTATTTCCATGTACACCCTTAACAGAGTGGCACCAACCCCAACCGAGAACCCCGGGGAGAAGATGGATGATTTGGTCAGAAAGTGAACAAGCCTCTTAGAAACATGCAGTGATACCAGTTTGACCGAATTTAAAGTTTTATTCTAAAGGTATGCCCGGGGGGGGGTGGGGGGGGGGTGGGGAGGCCATGAGCCACATCCCAGGTGTGTCCAGAGGAAACCATGCCCAGCTCCTCTAGCATTTCTGTTTGGTCTCAGTACAAGTAATCTGCAAGGCGTTTGCCAGAAACATAATTCCAGTCAGCAAGAATTTACTTAGGATCTATTCAATGTCAACTACCAGCCTAGGTTCCTTTAAGGGTGTTGGAAGACGTAAGACACAGTCCTTACCCTTGAGAAATGAACAATCTAGTCGCTAAGACATAATTAAACAAGCACACAAAGCAGTAAATAATCTAGTGTTTGACAGTGTATTATTCATACGTCCCACAGAAACATTTGGCAATTAAACGAATTCCTCTATATTTCTTCTCCTTGATCTTCCGTATGTACCCAAATCCTCTATCAGAAGAGTACAACAAAGAAACAAAAAGTCAGCATAACGCTGAGATTATCAACAATTATCTGTGCGTACCTGCAGTCTTTGCCTTATTAAGGGTTGTGAAGAAAATACCCTTGTAATTTACCTGAGGGGAAACAAGATATTCTTGCTTGTAATACATTATCTTCACAATTAATGAGGTTTTTACTTGCTTTCAGATATTTTCTAAAAGTAAAGATTTTAAAGAAAGGCAAGTAGGCTGGGAGTAGTAGCTTACATTTGTAATCCCAGCACTTGGGAGGCTGAGGCAGGAGGATCACTTGAGCCCAGGAGTTTGAGACCAGCCTGTGCAACACAGTGAGACCTCATCTCTACGAAAAATTAAAAATTAGCTACATGGTGGTGAATGCCTGTGGTCCTAGCTACTCGAGACATTGAGGTGGGAAGACTGTTTGAACCTGGGAGGTGGAGGCTGCACTGAGCCATGTTCACACTACTAGACTCCAGCCTGGGTGACAGAGCTGGACCCCGTTTCACGGGAAAAAATAAAAGGAAAGAAAAGAAAGGCACAGTAAAACTAATTTTGCACTAAAGGTAGAAGTTATTTTTCTCTGTCTTTTCCTGCTCTTGAAGTCTTTCTTGGGACACGTTGATGACCAGGAATAACCACAGCTAGTAGTTCTGCTGTAAGTAACATCCTCTGTTATGTTCCAATTCCCTTCCTTGACGACATTGTGCATTTTACTGGTTGACTTGCTCACAAATGAAATGGGCTTCTGCCAGAAAGGAGCAGTTTCCAGTGATTTGTGGATCTCTTTAGAGGGTCAGAAGTCATCCAAAGGAGCCACTTAAAGGCAAAAGAGCCAATTAAAAATAATTTTCAGGGACACCGTAATTGACAAGTTCCAGAACGTCTGCTGGAAAACAGAAAGGTTCACTAACACATAAGAATCAACAATTAGTAGTTAATAATTTACTTAAATCCGTCTCTTTTGTTAAAATGAAAATAGCCAGGGAGTATCTCCTATTGACCCTTTTCAATAATGTATATCTTGTAATGGATGTGCTTCTCACATTCTCTTGTTGAAAGCAGGCTTGCCTGTGGATGACTGCAGACAGCGCGGGGTCGCTGAGTCCATAAGCAGAGAGAAGGGCATACAGAGGGGAAAAGGAGAAGCTGGCTGCTGGAGGAGGCAAACTTGACTTCACCATGTTTTCTGGGGTGGGACCTGACTTTGACCTCATGTATACAGATGGGCTTGACTGAGCTAATCTATGCTTGTATCTTACGGTAATATATTTTTTCAACTGCCATTGAAAGACATGAGAAATGAAACATGAAAATATTTAATAATTCAGTATTTCCAAGTGTCTAGACTACTGAACACATTATTCAAGAAATTATTTAGAAGAAAGGGAAAGGAAATAGGCAAGGGGCTTTATGAGTACTGACTATGAATCAGTTGTTTTCAGAGTTTTATTTCTCACAGAGTAGATACTATTTTCCCTGTTTCACAGATGACAAATGTGAGGGTCAGATAGATTAGGAAGTGTGCCCAAAGTTTCACAGCTAGTCAATGAGAGAAAGCATTTTCCAAGCCAGGTTCACTTGGCTGCAAAGCACTTACTCTTTCTGATACGCAGCATGCTGCCTAGATGTTTCAGCACATTTGGATTACAAAATCATTAGAAATAAAATTATGTCTGTTAAAGGATAGGCATTCAAAAAGCTCTGGGTTACGGTTGTCTGTGGATGAAATTATAAAATGATAGTTCCCCCCAAAACACACATGCACGCACGCATGCAATGTTGGTTACTATGGCTGAGTCGCTGAATTTATTTGGAAGAACCATCTTCTTTTGCATGACAGAATACAGATGGCCATAAACTATTTACCCAGATATTTTGGGGGTGGAGGGATGCAGTCGCCATTTGAAACAAAAACACAACTCTAGCAATACATATGAAAGTGAGTTACTTTGTTCACGTGAAAGGGAAAAGGGGGAAAAATGAATAAAACAGCAAGAATACAACTGAAAGGAGGCTAAAAGGGACAAGGGGAAACTGTCTCTGAGACCAGGCATATGTGTGTGCTACACAGAGAGCAGTTTTAGAAATGTTTATAAACAATGATGCTTGTGGAAGGTAAAGCTGAATAGCTTCCACTCCTGGAAACATATGGACACCATGGCTTACAAGTTATTTGATTCTGACAAGCATCTTCCTACTTCCTGTAACATTTGGTTAGAAACCTAATAAAGTGATTACTTTAAATAAGAAAAAAAAAATCACATTCTACGTGTGTTTTATTTCCTAAAATGTCCCTAAATTATACAGGGTCTCTGAAAAGATAAGTATCTCACATATTTAGAGGATGACTTTAGCCTATTGTTTAAGGGTTTTTTTTCACACCTTAACTCCTTTAAAAAAACGTAACAGGCTATGAAAAAGAAAATAAATTAAGGAAAATAGTTCTTTATATGATAAACCTGCATTTGGCAGTGACAGTCAAGTATAAACTGCAAATAACTGAAATAACTCATAACTAGTAATATGCAGGTTAATCAACTATGATTAAAAATAAATAGGTTTTTATGCCACGAACAATATCTTTAACTCAAAATTAAATAATTGCAGCATACTAGGTGAACTATAAAATAAGGAATTTTTAAAGGCAGAGAATGATGTTCTTTCTCCATTATAAATCTGATGAGTCTTGGTGACCTTTTGTTCACATTAACACTGACAAAGGCTGCATAATGCATGACTGTCCCAACCCCCTTCTCCTCCCAGTAGTTCCTGCTTTGAGTCTAATCTGTATTCTAGGGTATGGGGTGGGACACTTTAGTGAGGGGTGGGGGTGGGGGGATGGCAATGGTAGACACTGGTCAGGGCTGTCAGTAACCTTGGGGGCCTTTGGGAAGAGCAGAGGGCAATAATTTATTGCAGTATAGGAGCGACAGCTAGGAAGTAATTCCTCCGTGTTATCTTTTTGATTGGAGAAGGAGTCAAAGAAATAACACAGGAGTTCAGTGCTAGGAAGGAAAAAGCCCTGGACAGCGATTTGGATGGGTATCCACTTGGTTATAATCTAAGGCAGATGTGAAACTCGAAAAGGTACCTTGGAACCATCATGTTCTTGGTGAGGTTGCCACAAATGCCACAACAGTTTAGAGAAACCCCTAAATGCTGGTCTTGGAAAAAAAAAAATCAGACAGCTTTAGTTCTTAGGGGAAAGAGCAATAGATTTATTTGATGAAATAATTAATAAGTCATGGTCCCCACCACCATTTTCAGGCATGAAGCTAGCACTGAATCCTTTGTGCTTTCAAAGTTTCGAATGACCTTCCATTAAACTTTAATAACAAGATTCCTTTAAAACACATTTATGCTTCGCTATTAACACTCCTACTACTAACACAGTGATTAATAATAGGGCGGTGATGGCATTACCTAGGAATCCTAGAATTAAAATTAGGTGTTCATCTCCATCCTCCCCAACAGCCTGCAGTGTGTCAAGACATCAGACCACACAGAATCTTATCGTTTGTATGTTCAATGTCTTGTGCATAAAGACAACAAACGAATATGAGTTTTAAAAACCTACATATAAAGACTGTTGAGTCCTATTATAAGCACATTGTTTACACACATATGAATCAGTGCCATGACACCAGGTAGAAGTATACAGAGGACACCTAACTTCACTTAAAGTCTAAGTAAACACAAAGCGTGGCCTATAGTGATTTCCCTGAATTGGAGAACCACACATATGTCTCGTTATCCTTCGGACAAGCTGGTAAGATTAAAAGGAGACAATTCCAGTGTAAACACTCAAACATTCAAGTACGACAAAAACATTAAAATTCATTAAAATGTTACAAATAAAAAAAGTCACTTTTGTTTTGGTATTTATATACTTGAAAGAGGTTTATTTGGCGTTCTGGGAGTGTACTGCATTTCCAATCAAAGTCTACTGATGACTTGTGGAGGGAGAGGAAAGCTGTCAGGTTCTCTAACTCACCCATCTGTTCATGCCCCCTCCTGGATGGCACCGGTTCTCCAATGGAGAAGCGGAGCACTGGCCTCTTGAAAGCTGTCTTTCTGGCACTGCCTTCCTGAGCTAAAGAAATGGTTTGGTTTAAAATACCTTCCTTTTCATTCCTGTCCCAGCTTCAGGATGAATGCCCTTAATTTTAAAGAGGCACAGTCCAATAGTTTATACATTGCTGGAAGAAGAAAATTATATTATGTTGTAATTATGCAGTGAACTAGCACATGGTCCTTTCCAGGGGAAAAGTAGTTTTTAACCTCTCCTGTAAACTCTAGAGGGAACTTACACAAGAACAGAAATTCAGGCATCAGGAAACACATGTATTCATCATTTTACTGGTTCTTAAAATTTACTGTGACATGGGAGGAGAATGTATCATCGCACATACTCTCATGAATGTAGCAGATGAAATCCAGGAAAGTTTAATCAATAAAAATGACAGCACATATATTTTTATAGTACTTAGAAGTTTATAACACACACAAATTATCTCATGTGACCCTTACATACAACTAAAACTAAGGGCAGGGACGATCTTCAATTTTAAGGTAAGAAACCAGGCTTGAGGTTAATAAACATTTTTTTTAAGATAAAAAGCTCACTCAGACTATTTTATCTTTAAATGACGGTTAATCTGGAAATAGGCCAGTCAGTTTGAACCTATTTTTAAGATCATTCAGCTAGTTTGGAGGCAAAGTCAAGACACAAACTCTGCCTTCTCTGAGGAAAATCAGCACTTCACAAATTCCTAGAGCTACATCAGTGTGCCCATGGTCACAGACTATTTATACAGGATTCCTTACTCTCTAGCTTGGTTTGTCAATGCCGCGTTCTTGACAGTGGGCTTATTTTTAAAAATCACTTAATAGAATAAATTAAGCAATAATGGGTTCTAAACTATTGGAAGAATCAGACAAAAGTAATTTTAAAATAAGAAAGGAGGAGCTGGACATGAAAGTACTAATTTTGTTTCTGAAATTATTTTTTCCACCTTTCTACATGGTGTTATCTTAATATTTGAAACTCTTAAGACGTCAGTTTGAATCCCTGCATTACATTTTATAGCGTTTCTGTTGGTATTGCTCATAGAGCTTATGTGACTAATTAAACCTCACTGCAATGACGTGTCAAGCGGAGGTTGCAGTTTACTTATTTCTTAATAACAACTGTGATTGTCCGCCATGTTTCCCATGCATTACTCGATGATTGATTACTGCTACAGTGTGGATTGTGTTTTGTATTCCGCAGCACACAAGCATTCATCTTCACGTATTCTGCAATAGCATAATTCATTAAAATACATACTTTGATTTGGGGGCACATACAAGAAGAGGTAACCACATGGGAATACAGTGTTGTTATGACAAAACATAATTAATAAAACATAAAATGTGTTTTATGAAGTTATGGTTTTAATTTGCTATCTCAAGAAATATGCTCTAGCAATTCGGTACAAGGTAACTTCCCAGGAGGGTTTAAATCCCCTAGGTAGTGAAAGGATTATGATTAGCACACACTAAATCTCTCTTAAATGGAAAAGGCCCTAGCAAATTTCTAAAACCGAATTTGAGCTGCTGGTAAGTATGATAGTCCTAAATCCGGAGCAAACTTTGACTTCTGAATTCCTATCTGGCCTCTGCTGGCCCCTCTTTTTTTCTTGACATTATCACACAGCAGGGGACAGAGTGGGCCCAGCCAGAGGCAGCACAAAAGAGCACGGCCACATCCGCCCCCATGACCCCGGCAAATGGATGACCTACATTTGATGCAAGGAGTTCACATGAGAAAAAATTAATCTGTGTTGCATCTTGCATTTAACCTGCATTTCAAGAGGCAATTAGAGATATAAAGTAAATACGGGCAAATAAGTGTTTCACACATACATCACTCCAGATTCATAGGAGACATCAGCAAAACTATACGTGTTCATGGAATTGTGCATGTGGCCTTCTTTCTCTTAATTTCAATCTTCATAAAGAAATGCACTAGTGGGAGGTTAGTACAAGTAAAAACAGCATTAATGGGTCACATATTAATATTTATGTTTTACTATATAAAGACCTTGCATACATTATGACTGTTTTGCAAGCTGAATGAATAACTAATGTTACATTATGTATGGGTACATATTAAGCAGACATGTCTACACTTTCTTAGTTCAGGATATGATTAATGCAGCCTATCAGAAGCCAGATGGTGCAGAACCAGAACCATCAATCAAAATGAAAAGACCACTGCGTGCTATCCACAATGAGGTTCTCACAAATGGAGATTCTGTTCACAGACCCTAACTGGTAATAGGCAGAAAACGCCAAGAACATAGCTACACTGTCCCACTGGGATTAAAAAAAAAAAATTGTAGCTCAGGCTTGGCTGGATCAAAAATCTGGTATAGGAATATTCATCCTGGAGTCCTGAGCACCAGGGTTGGGAAAGCTTGAACAAACCAACAGCGTGTTCCTAAGATTAAATTAAAAAAGCAGCTTTTTAATGATTTTAATAATGTTTGTAACTGATGACAGTATCTGTCAAACAGTATCCATTTCCCATTTGATTTAGGATGGGACAGTGCCACATAGTAACAAAGCAGCTGCCACTGTCTGCCTGACACGTGAATTGGCATCTTGTTTCTTTTGCACAAGCTTTATTATAAATAA